CTGAGAAGCTCATTACCAGCAAGGTGCAGGCAAATGTGAAGGAGCTAAGGAAACCACAGCAGTAATTGTGGAGGGCTGGAAGGTCTCCTCTTTGAGGAGAGATTAAATGAACTAAATGTGTAGGTCATCTAAGCAGTTGATAGAAGTAGACCTCCACAAGATGGACAGCTGAAAGGCTGGGACTGTCTTTGTATTGGCATGACAAATTAGCATACGTCCAGAGGTGGCAAATCTGAGTATTAGTGTTCCAGCCTCAAAACAGTGGAACATGCAAAGAAGGCAGCTTATTTAAAATGTGTGAGACATTAGCTTTTTCCATAATTTGTCCACTGAACTCATCCCTATAAAATTTATTCAAAACCAGAAGATTCCCAGGACTGAAAATAGTTGAGACAGCTGTCTGGATGGAAAGGACAGCCAGTAGTATCTTAGGGTAGAAGACATTTTAGAGAAGGTAGGGGAGAGGAAGTGCTGGGGAAGTTAATCCTGTGTGTAGGTGGCTGCAGGCTTGAGGTCTCTCCCATGCATCAGTGCAGAAGTTAATCCTCTGCAGTGGGGGCTGAGCTGAGCTCAGCCTGTTTCCTGGCTGTGCCCTACCTCCCTGACCCTTTCCCACTGCACGTGGCAGTATTCTGGACAGGGCCCACTCTTTTCTGTTTCAGCTTGGCCATTTTCCTCAATCACACATCAGCCAAAAAGTTTTTGGAAACACAGCATCAGGCATGGCACTGTCCCTGGGGAGATGGAAAATCCTTTCCACACTCGATGGATGTTGTGCCTGGCTTAAATCCACCACGTCGGGAACTAGAGGCTGTGTGTCTCTGCCTTGAGAATATATAATTGAAATATTGAAGAGATCTCTTTTATTCTAGTGCTTCTTCCTTTGCATATTCCTGCATGTGAGTCTGCCAGCAGTGTCTGTGCACTCCGTAACCTTTAGCACTGTGCCAGGCTTGGGAAGGGCAGCACAGACTGTCACTTCAGTCCCTTGTCAGTCTGTGGTCTAAGACGCAATACTCCTGTCTGCAGCTACACTAGCACATTGGCTTCTCCTTAGGACATGAAAATTATTATAGTTTTCCCTTCAGCTTTTAGGTCTTAATACCTTTTGAAAACCTATGGTGGTCTTCTGGAAGACAAGTTGTTTTAAAGGAAACTAGCAGTACTGAGGGCAGTTTGGACACTATCCTATCGCAAACAGTGATGACATGGTGAGGCAAAGAGCTAGAAGAAACCTGTCAGGAGTACTCAACTTGCTGTACAGTCATGGTATCTGTCCATCTGCAACCCTTGCAGGGCTCATGAGGACACTTGGTGCTATGAAAGGTTCCTGTTAGCTTGTCGTGGTCTTTGGGAGTGTGAAGCCTGGAAGGGTGTGTTGACCCTGGAGCACGCAGAGGGACGGCACGCTTTGCGGGCTGAGTTACAGTGCCTGTGAGTGACTGCTCTGCTCTGCTGTTGTGGACAGCCAACCAGATGAGCAGATGCCCCAGAGTGGGGTACGGGTCAGTGTGAAGATGCTGATTCCCCCTCAGCTGTTGCCCCGTGTTTGGTGTGGCATTTCACAAAATGCACCAGCTCCCTCCACGGTGACGCTGGCTCCGTAGAAGTGGAAACGATGATTATCATGGTGGTGTATTTACTCAGAGAGGATATGCAGCAGTTGTCAGACTGTACTACCTACCTAATTGGGAATTCAACTTCCAGCTGCTAGATTGAGACTGAGAGGCAGAGCTGTGGAATAGAGACGGGCAGGCACCAATTGCTGCGACTCCTAATCTTTTACAATATGTTTGTTTAATACAAAGTGGTCTGCTGAGATTGTTTTGCAGTGTAGAATAATCGTTGTGTGCTGACTAATGGGAGACAGCAAGCTGTTAAAGAGCATCAATTAACCATACGGGAGGAGGTTATTGAGTCTTTTCACAAGCATTCAGGGTGTGAAGAGTGAAGAATATTACTTGAAGGTAATCCTCAGAGATTTTTAGCTATCGAAATCTACAAACGGCAACAGGAATATTTGTGGGTATACATATGGTTGCTGAGCTTACCAGGAGGAGCAGTGCAAAAAAGCCTTGAGCTAGCTTTCCAACTCCAGATTGTGCTGATACGAAATAAATAGTGCTTTGCTAAACTTGTTCTCTTATTTCATATTCATTATTTTGAAATTTTCCCCTGTTAAATTTATCTAATGTTGTCCCAGGAAATATCAGTCCTTTTTACAGAAGGTAACACGTACAGTGCCCTTCTGATACTTGGATGTCTGAATTTATTGTACTTCTGCTTCCCTGACTGTCTGCCTGTGGGACTGCTGTCCTTGTCCTTACAGCTGCTCCTGCTTTGGGATAATAATTCCTACTCCTGCTGGGAATTAGAACTCGGTCTGATTCGTGCTGAGAGGCACAGGTTCTTCCATCATGTGCCTTGCACAATGGATGATAACATTCTCCAATTTTGGCAGTGGAGAGTATGAAAACCTATGTTTCATTAGGAATACTTTTATATAGCCCTACTGGTATTTTGCCTGAGTTTAAAGCAAAAAATAAATAACATTTTGTGGGCTCTGTTTGCTGAGTGATTTTGTTCTTTGTTCATAATGGGAAATTTTTCCCATCCTGGATTCCAGTGTTAAATCCATTTTGTGCAAACATCACTTTACATTTATTCATTGGCAGTGGGGAGACCAGGCAACACTGAATTTGTTTTTTCAGTGTTGTTTTTTCTGAAGTGGTGTTAAAGAATTGGACCTCAGATATTCTTGTAGCCAACAGCCAGAGACGTTCTAGGATTCCTTGGGGATTTTGAGAAGGAAGGGATTCTTGGTTCTCAGACAAGGGCAAAGACAGACTTCTCTCGGTGTCAGCTCTCTATTCAAATGCCTTAATCAACAGAGGTCTCCTTTAAGAGATGATTTTGCATCCATATAGCCTTTAACATATTAGGAAAAATTCACTCCTTTTCTGATTTGATTGATTTTCTTAATCTTTTTTGAGCAGTGGTGAGGGTGGGGGGAGAATAACACATCAGAAGACTGTGGAGAGGATTAATTACTTGGCTGCAAAACTCATGAAGATACGAAAGACGTAGGATAAGTGAGAGAGAAGCCCTGGTGAAGTTGGTGTCAGTGGGGAAATTTAACTGTGACTGCAGCCCTTATGGCTGCAGTGTTTTGCAACATAAGAGAACGTAGTCTGACCCTCTGTATGTCATAAGCTTCTGCATTTGTTTCAGTAGTGAAACCCTCCCTACTGATCTACTGGAAAAAAAATTCCCTTTTTCTCCAGTGGCTTTGACCCTGAGCACTTGTAGCTTGGAAATGGCAAAGGCAGAGGGGGGTTTGCTACCTTAGGACTCTTGTCCTTGCAGCTGCTGCTGCTTTGAGCTCTGACTGATCTCTGGTGCTTCAGAGAGATGCCAAAATACCCCTGACTTTACAGGGAACTTGTCAAAGCCTTAATACGTGAGATACCAATGTCTTAACGGAGATCTGTAGATTTAAACCCCCAAGGGGTTGCTCAGCTTCACCCGTGGCCAGGGAGGGGAGGAGTTGCAGAGCTATTTCAAGGGTGGAGGGGGGTATCATTAGCACTGATCTTAACCCGAGTTGAACTTTGGCCAAAGGATTCATCCCTTGAGCTGCAATGAAACATTTCATGGTTCATTATCCTCACAGTAGGAAACAATGTCTTATTCTGAAGCTGAATATCTAACTCAAATGTTCATCCATTTGATCTTCTTATGGCTTTGGCAGCAAAGCCAGATCTCTCACCACTTTCCAATTTCTTTTAGGAAACAAATTTTATATGTATCTTCATGGATGTGGAATAGTTTGAGCTCTTGAATTTTGATACTTATAAGGCTTGTTTTCTGGGCTGTGTGTCATTCGGTGACCTGCCTTTGAATCCTACTCTGTTTCCCTGCGGAACTGTGAAACTACTCTGTGGGGTTTTTTTACAGTGTGAACTCCAGAACTGTGCACGAGTTCCAGGAGAGCTCTTGGATTTGTGCAGGTTGCAGAGGCAGCATTGTTTTTCTGAAACTTGGCTGCTTTGTGGCTGAGCTGATTTGGCAGCTTGTTGCCGTAGCAAAGATGGAAAGCGCCATTGGACTAAGAACTGTTTCCCTGAAGGCCTTAGCAGGATACCTCTTCATAGGGATGTTTCCCCACAGACAACTACATTTTGAGATGAGTCACTGAATTCATGTTTAATCCACTAGTAATATTGGCAAGGCAATTACCGTCTTGCAAGTTGCTCAAATCAAATTGTTAGAGAACATTAAATCAAATGCTTTGGAGAAATCCCAGTATATACAATTGCTTTTATCATCCAGCCTGTGATTCTCACAGGAAAAGCTTTATTGGGCCTGTCTTCAGTGAAAGTGTGCTGCCTGGTACTCATTTCAGTCTTAGCTTCTACTTCTTTGTCTCTGCTTATTATTTTCCTTTTCCTATTTGTTACCCCATAATGAGAGCTGAGAATTAAGGAATTTCTAGCTTACAGTTGTCATCCCTACTTTTTAGCATTGCCAAGTACAGAAAGCATTTACAAACTGCAACAATGCTGTTAGTAATGAGGCAATTAATCTGTTAGGACAATGTGGTGGCTTACAGCACAACGGTAATGAAGGTCACTGTGTTGGGTCTCCCTTTTTTCTCCATGTGTTTTGCTCTGAAGTCAAGCCACCCACTCCTTGGTAAGAGGGAAACATGCAGAGCTTTTGTGTATTAGTCATCAGTGGAGGGGCTGGTAGACTGAATCTGCAAACAAATAGCTATTGGCAGCATTTTGGTCACTGAGGTGCTGTCTGATAGAAAGTACATTTTAGCTTAATACTGTTTTCACTGCCATGCACTTAGCTTTACACTCTCAGTTGGCTCTCTTCTCTTAGGTACACCCTGGTCTAAACGTGACATCTTGTGTTGTTTTCTGGAAGGGTACTTTTTCACAGAAATTTACAATACTCCTTTTTTTCTCCCACTTTTTCTCTTCTTCCTACAGGTGAGAACAAGAAAGGAAGACCTACAGAAGGAGGGGTTCTCTGCTAGAAAGATCCAGGAAAGTGTTGAACGAAAACTACTGGATCTTACACACCTTTATGCTCGAAAAAAACCCAAAATGCATGGTTCGTGCCGACTGGTGTTCAGAAGCAAACATCCTGCCAGCAAAATGGGTTTGGGCAGGTCTGTAGCCAAGGAGGCTGTTTCAGCTGTCAGTGCTACAGAGGTGATCAGAGAGCTGCAGATGAGAGAGGCCAGCCTGGAGAGAGAACTGAAGCAGCTGCAGGAAGAGTGCAGGCAGAGGCTGGATGAAATTGCAGAAGGGTTGGATGGAGTGATTTGTATCTCCCCATGAAGAAAGCAAGCTGGACTGAGAAGAGCAAAGGAATAGACTGACTTGATCAGAGCACATTGTGCAGCTTGGCATGGGGCACTGTGAGGTGAGGAACCAAATGTAATTTCTTATTTTTAAGCCTGGCAATCGTAATTCGTTACTGCTTTGTGACTTGCACTGGGGCCATAACCTTGGTGGTTCTCTCTGCAGCCCCTTTATTGCTAGCCTTGCCAATTAAATTCTGCAGCAGGCCTTGGTGGGAGTGTGTGTAAATCTTCCTTTTATCTTTCGGATTTCTCATTTTTCTGCCAAGTGCTGGGCTCTTTGACAGCGCTCAGCTGCTAGGCAGGAATACACTGAGGCTGCGCATTGAAGTGCTAATTGCATTCAGTATTTTCTAGCAAATGGAAGAGTTCATTAGTCAGAAAAAATCCAGGTACGGCAGAATGGGAAAAGTACCACGGCTTAGAGAGCTTGGAAATGCTGAAGAAAGCGTGCTGTTTTCATTCAGCTGGTTTGTGTATTTGTGGCAGCTATAATGTAGTCACCATAAGGAAAAACAAATGCCTAATAATAAATAAAGGAGCACACTGATTTCATTTACTGGTGTGATGCACTTGAAGTAATTGGGTTCTCAAAGAGAACAAACTAGAAACCCATTCCACCGAGTTATGAGTCACAATGAGATAACTTACAGAGCTGCTATAGGAAGTTTCTGTAAAATAGAAATATGACCTTTCCTTCCAAGCTTGAGGAGCCTCCAAGCTCTGTCTCTGGAGGCTTATTCCCCTGTAACATGCAAATATTTTTCGCTTGGTGTTCATTTCTTACCCTTTTCTATTTGCTTTCACTGAGGAATGTTTCCATATTCTAGTTGTACCGTTTCAGCAATAAATAAATTTTAACAAAACAGCTTGCTTTTCATTTGTGAATTGCTATGAGCAATGGGCTTTCCTCTGTCTGGATTTCTGTCTGCTATTTCAGCTCAGGGGTGTTCTTGGCTCACTCAGCTGCCAGATGTGATGAACCTTTAAGGACCTGTATCCAGGTTGAGGTACTGATGTGCAGTTGCTGCTCTGCAGGGAGACAATGAGCAGGTGGGGCTGGGTGGACAAGGCTCAGGTCTCCTGGTTTCTGTTGCACCAAGGAAAACTCGGGTCCTTCCAGACCCTGCTCTTCTGCACCACCCGTAGCGGTTCTCATGAGGGGTTTTCAGAAGTGAGTGGCAATGCCAAGGTCAGTGGGGAGCCACACGGGGAGGGCTGGTTTGCTTTGGTTTCACCCAGTTTAATGCAGCATTGCTGGTAGGCCAGGAGTATTCAAACTCAGTTTAACATGAGCCAAGTTTCAGACAGCCTTTCCTCTGCATGGACCTGGTGGCTTGTCCCAGGACCAAGCTTGCACAAGCCTGGTGGGAGGTGCAGGTCTCAGATAGAGACCTCAGCTCCAGTCAACCCTGCACGGACAGGACATCCCCTGGGAGCATGGTGGTGTGTGTGTTGGCTGAGGTTGTCAGTCACTACCAGTGTGCCTCATGAGGGCTGGCACCAGGGGTGACAAACAGTTTTGGAGCAGAAATGCCAAGTGAGGTAGTGAGAGCCATCTGTGGGGCAGGTGGCCCCAGGCTGCTGCTCCTTAAGGAACAGCCCTGGCCTTAAAGAGCCAATGCACATCACTCTGCTTTTCAAACCACCTCTGTGGGTGCAGGAGACCAACCACTGAGCTATTTCTATCTGGTACAGCTTTGGGAGGGTGTTTGCTCCAGGTCAGCTGAAATTCAGCGTGCTAGAAGACTTGTTCAGACACAGGTTTCACAGAAATTTATTCATGAATGGGAAAGAAACAGTATATCCTAGAACTAACAAGAGCAGCAGCACTCGTCTATCTCTCTCTGAGCATTTTATATCCTCCTTCAGCTTTTACTCATGGAAATTTTCATACTGCATTATATTTAGGTTTAAAACATTGCCCTCAAAAATTATCCTTTGCTCTCCTGGGATTTTCAGCAAAGAAGAGTGGGCAAATATTCTTGAGCATGGGGAGAGCACTCAGATTCAAGTGCAGGTCTGCCTTCTGCCTTGCTGCGGCTTATCAGGGAGACTCACTGCTGAATGCTACCATGTATTATGCTGCTTAAGCTGGCAGTAGTTGCTCATGGGGCAACGTATTTCCTAGTATCACCTATTTGTCACCACGCAGCACTTAGTGCACTGTGCTTCAGTGTTCCCCCAAGGACCCCGCTTCAGCAGACACCACAGCATGGCGCCTCTCCCTTACTTGGCTATGAAGAGTTGCTTTTCTCTCTGGCAGGATGTAAAACCGACAGCACTCATTATATCTGTATATGTGTGTGATGTATAAAAGTTCCTGCATTGAGTTTCAGTGAGCTGCATTTACCACCTGGCACAAAGTGCTGTACTGAGGTGGCTGTATGGGAACCAGAGGGTTGGATCTGGAGCAGCTTGTCCTTGTGTGCACGTGGAGAGAGGCTACAGCTGAAAGCAGCTAAAAGAAGATGATCTTTCACCCATGGCACTGTGCTGGCATTATGCACCTCAGACACCTTGAGCAAAGAGCATAGGCAAGTATAGTTTTTATTTTCTGGCACCGTTTTCCTACTGCCTTTTGTTTTAGGTACTAGTTAGCAGTTTAAAACTGTGCAGATATTGTGTGGTCCCCATCAAAAGTCAGTGGGGTGTTTTGAGCTGGCAGTGGTTTTAAACCAATACCTGCAGCCCCCTCTTTTCCTTGCTCCTCTTCTGAGCACCAGCATGGAGATCACAAAGCAACAAGTACTTCAAGAGCTCAGCACTCTCTGGCACCAAATTTTGGAGGGTGGTTTTTCTGTGAAGGCTGAATCTTAAAAATCGCAGCGCCTCCGCAGGAGCTGGACACAAAGGGGCTGAGCTGTGGTCGTGCCTTGGTGACTGGCCACAACTTCTGATTGCTTTTGAGGCTTGTTGCTGCATCTGAAATACAGATACTTTCCAATCCTTTAGCGCCTGGCAAGGCATTGTCTGTCTCTGCAGTACTACTGGGAGGTGCTGTGTGATAAACCCCTCTTAAAAGCCTAAGAAAATCATCTCCGGATTAACACCAGCAGGAAAGTGACCTGGGTGACTACAGTCACACTTAATGTGATATAACCTAGGAAGAAATAGGTGTTGGCCATCTCATGCCATTACCACAGCATTTGAAGTGTTTTCCTTTCCTTGTTTAGGCTGACTTCTCCCACCCACCATCACAGCCCACTGGTTTTAAAGGCTGCAATGACCTCGGTCACTGTGGTTTGGCCCCGCTGTCAGCAGTTGAAGATGCTGTAGCAGGAGGACTGGCCACCCCGGGAGATGTGTGGCTACCACCAACCAAATGACTGGTTGGTCTCTGGCAGATGCTGCGACAGGTGGAATATGACTCAAGTGGTACATTTCATTCATGGACTCAGGCATGCTTGCTAAATGTTAAGTATTGCTTCACAGAAATTGGAGAGTGTTGTAAACAACCCACTACAGACTGAAAAGCAAAGATACAAGCTGTTAAGCGGGTTGTCCTTTGCTGTATCACCATGCCGGTTGTACATTTCCTTGTGAAAGCAGGAATCTGCCCTACAATTGTTGGTGGAGTTGACGAGAGAAGAGTGGGTATCAACTGGAGGAGCTGGTAGAGAATGAGTTGAGTGCAGCTGGCTGCTAAACTCAAGTGTTGGAGGAAGGCTGGTGATGATGCTGCCCTAACATCTAGAATAGGCAGCAGGGTTTGTTTTGGTTCGGTTTTGGGTTTTTTTTTGAAGAGGCTACAGCAGAAGTTCTCCCTGCTGGTGCATCCTGAAGGGAGTTAATTTAGTTTTGGTTTGGATCCAGGGTTTCTAAGTGATCTCAGGAAGAGAGGAGTATGTTAGAGGTGATGGCCTATGCTGGAAAAGCAGGATTAAACCAGGGTTAAACCAGCACCTGGCAAAGATGATGCTGCACATGGTTCTGGGATATACACAACAAGGGTCAGGCAGTAGAAGGCTGTCCCAAACGTTCACGTGGTCACAGCTCCTCACAAAGCTTGTCCTAGGAAGCCCCCACAGCAGCTAACCCTTCTCACAGGGCTGGGAGTACGTGGCCTTTTGCTTCATGTTCTGGAAATGCTTTACTGAAGACAGTCAGAGTTACTGCTGTGCTGTTTCAACCACATTCTCTCTGGTGATAGATCGCTTCTAAGTGTAGCCTGAAGAGAAGCTTTTACAGGCCTTCTGAGTGTGTAGTTTCTGGCAGGCCAGCATGGAGGTGTTTATAGAAGAGCACAGTTTAACTCATTTCTCTGATGTAGCTTGTGCTTGCTTTCCAAACATCTTGCTAGTAAAATGGAATTGGCCATAAATACTTAATTGGCTGATAACTCTGGCTCGCACTGTGTAGCTAGAAATATTCCTCCCCAAATAACCAAGCATCAATCAGCTTGCAGTCAAAACAGGAGGTTTCCTTCGCAAAAGGCAAGCGAGGCATCTGCAGTCACTGCTCCTGACAACGTTGTGCCTGCTGGTAAATAAGGGCTGCAACCCATGTTTAAAAATAAGAGCTGCTGGGAGTAGTGATTTCTAGCCTCCAGTGCTTTGGGTTCCCTGTGGGATTCCTCCACCAGCTCCTGCAGGAGGGTGAGCTGGTAGCAGTTGGTGTGAGCATGTGTGTGGCAGCGTGATGCATGCTCGGTGGGAGTTAACACATGCCTGTTGGTTGAGTTCCCTCTCCTCTGACCCTCAGCAACTTGCAGTGAGAGCCTCGGGCTTTCCCCTTCACCCGGCGCCTCCTGGAGCCAACAGCTTGTGTGAAGCAGTCTGTGGGTACTGCTGCTCCTTGACTGACAGCCTAAGCCCTGGTGGACAGTGTCCTGTAGCCTCTAGGCTGGGAAGCTTCTCGTCCTCCCAGCTGCCCTGTGTCTCAGTTGCTGGGCCGTGGCCAGACCCCTATCCCTAAGGGGTTTTGTTCTCCAGCTGCTCTGAAGTGGGTGAGAGGGCAGATGGAGGTGGGCAGCCA